AGAAATTTTCCATTATCCAGAACTAAAAAAAAAAAACCAACAAGATTATCAAATTGAAAAATAAGTCAGCAGAAATGCTACATGAAGACAGTTAAGGAAATCTCCCAGGATGAATAATAATAATAATGACTAAAAGAATGTACAGAAGAATGGTAAGGGAAACACATGACCATTAGAAGACCATGCAATCAATAGGATTCCCAGAAAAAGTGACAAATAAATGGCAGGGCTAAAATTATGAGACTTTTTTTTGTACATCAAATGGATGTTATTATATTTCTAGTACTAATTGGTAGGAATATAAACAGACACAGTCATTTGGGGGCATCAGTGTGGTTTTACTTAAAATGAAAACTGTCTACTTTCTAAGACAGAAAATATCTCTCTTTAAATGCTCTAGAAAAACATTCATATATTAGTACTTAGAAGCTTAATAAATGTTCTTAATTGACTTTTCTAATTATTTTTGTCCTAACTACTACCTACACATATGTACAATGCAACCAAAATTCAGAAATTTAACTTCCAGGAATATTCCCTACAGATATAAAGGTGAGAAAAGACAGTATTCAAAGCATATTAATTTAAATAGTGTTTTCAATAGCAAAAACTGAAAATATGTAAAAGACCACTAAGAGGAATCTAGTTAAATAAAGGTACATTTATACAATACTCACTGAAAAGAGTAAGGCAGATATTTATAAGTGTGGTTATAGAAACATCTCCCAGATATGTAATTAATGACTGAAAATAATTTATAAAATATACACCCAATAGAAAATTAGTCACACCAACAATGAAATTTTCTTATTTGTAGCAACGTGGATGGAATTGGATGACAATATGTTAAATAAGCCAGGCACAGAAAAACAAATTATTACATGTTCTGATTCATGTGGAAGCTAAAAAGTTAATTTCATAAAAGCAGAGAGTACAATAGTGATCAACAGAGGTTAGGAAGGGAAAGGTAGGAAGGAAGTTTGTTAGGGGAAGGTGGGTGGAAGGAGGCTGAATAACCAGTACCAAAATATAGTTACTTAGGAGGAATGAATTCTAGTATTTTACAGCAAAGTAGGATGACTGTAGTTCATGATTTATATTTTATAAAGAAATAAACAGGAGTTCAAAAGTTCCCAACACAAAGAAATGGTAAATGTTTGTAAGTGGATGGAAATGCTAATTACCCTGATTTGATCATTACATATGCACATATGGAATTACCACACTGTACCCCACAAACATGTACAGTTATGTCAATTTAAAAAATCTGTTTGGAGTGAGAGCATAGTTCAGTGGTAGAGACTTGCTTACATGAGGCCCTGGGTTCAACCCCCAGCCACAAGTGTGTATACACATACGCACAAATCTCTGAAGACTGATCAAAAACATTTGCAGTATGTTTGTTGTTTTGATTTAGAGATAGATTTTAAAATAGCTATATGGACATTACCTACTTACATAGACATTAATGTTTTTTATGAATGCAGACTGGAGGTGTGCCTCAAGCTGTAGAACACCTGGTTGGAAGCACAAGCCCTGAGTTCAAACCACAGTCCCACCAAAAAAAAAAAAAAAAGTTTTAAAGAATGCGTGGGTGACTCACGCCTATAATCCTATCTACTCAGGAGGCAGAGATCAGGAGGATCGCAGTTCAAAGCCAGCCTGGGGCGTATAGTTCAGGAGACCCTATATTGAAAAAAACCATCACAAAAAAGGGCTGGTGGAGTGACTCAAGGTGTAGGCCCTGAGTTCAAATTCCAGTACCACAAAAAAAAAGAATGCAATATTAACATTGTCTTTGGGATGGATTGTTTTTAAGTTAATGAAGATAAACACAGTATGTAGATAAACAAGTATGTTTTCTTATAGAACAAAATGTATAGAATTCAGTTATCGAGTTTTGAGACATTAACTTGCTGTGAAAGTGAACGATGTTATTTCTGTGATAGAAGTAAGGATAAATTTGGATTATTTTACTTTGAAAAGATAAAACTTAAGATTCTCCAGGTTCTCTAGTTAGGCCTGCATGACCAGGAAGATGCAGTTAGAAAAGCCATGCTTCTGGGTATTCAAATATATTTTTCATAATCCAAGGCCATGAGACAGTTTCTGGGAATCAAGGTCCTATTGTGAGAAATCCATGCCCTTAGCAAGCTAACCTGTATTTCCTCGGAAAATGTCTCCCAGAGACACAATGTAACACCCATGTACACATTTGAGAGAGATACTATTAGTATTCCCATTTGGCACATAAGAAATGAGGCTTAAGTTTTGTAATTTGATCAAGTCTCATATCCAAGAAACTAAATTTGGAATGATCTAACTACATGGGCAGGGCTTTCCACTTTAACATCCTTTTGCCTGTTCATTTTACAACCACAGAGCATACACATAGGCATTCTAGGATTGTCAAGAAATATGATCCTGCAATGAACAGCCATGGCTTCAATTCCTTTGGTAATCACTAGGTCACATTTCTAAAGCAGCACTCTGTGAATCCAAAAAGGAGACAAGGGTCTAGAGAGGCCTACCATTTTTATCCTCAACTCTCCTATAGAGTCTCCTATATAAGAGCCATCTCTTATATAGATGGATATAAACTTGTTCAGTGGTTTCTTTTTGTGATTCTACCTACTTGGGAGGCAGATTGGGAGCAACATGGTTCCTGGGAAATAAAAAGGTAGGGGAGATCCTAGATCTCAACAATCCAGGTGTGGTGGTGCATGCCTGTGACCCCAGATACACAAAGGTAGGTAGGATTGTGGTCTAAGGCCAATCCCAGGCAAAAGCAAACTAAAAGCAAGAAGGCCTGTAAGGATAAGAACCATACAGTGGTTCATTACCACTATTTAACTCATCCTTCATTAAATTCAAAGGCCCTGCAGAGGTTTTGCTTGCAAGTCCATCATTTAAAAATTTGGTAATTTTAGTTCCCAAAATTTAAGTACTGCATTTTAGCTGAGACTTTAAAAACATACCTATAAAAGAGAGGGTGAAGGAGGCAAATATAGAGGATATAGTTTGTATTCATATATGAAAACAGAACAATGAAGCCTGTTGAAATTGTTCCGAGGAAGGTTTAAAAAAAAAACAAAAAAACTTTACCTATAGCTTTAATTAATCTTCTTTGCCTGTGAAAAATACAGCCCCTAGGCTGGTCGTGTGCTTGCCTAACATATGCAAGCCCCTGGGTTCAACCCTTCTTATCACAAAGAAAAGTAATGTTCACAACTGTGTAAAACTCCAAAGATATGTGTATCTTTGGAAAGATTTACTGAGGCAGATTTTTCAGTATCTATTCGTTGGTCATAAGTGACTTTAATGTTCTCATGAAACTAAATCTTTTGGAGTCTTTGCTCCCATTTCCTGCTGGGTAACAGGAAATGCTTTTATCTCACTTTTCACCCCTCTGTTCCTCTCCTAGTAAACTTTACTATTACTTCTACTAAAAAAAAAAGTTAAAAAAGTAGAGATTAAAAAAAAAAAAAAAGAAACTAAATCTTTACTCAATCCATTCTCAGGATGCCAGGCAAAATTCCGAGCTCATAAACAAGCATCTAGCTGGACACCAGAGGCTCATGTCTGTAATCCTAACTATACAGGAGGCGGAGATCAGGAGGATCATGGTTGGAGGCCAGCCTGGGCAAGCAGTTCTGAAGAAAAACCATCACAAGAAAAAGGCTGACGGAGTAGATTAAGGTGTAAACCAAGTTTAAGCCCCAGTACTGCAGGAAATTAACAGGCATCTAGGGGGACTTGGGTGGCTTAGCATAAACAAAGACCTGGGTCTGATACTCAATACAATGAAAAAATCAAAACCAGGTTTCTGCAGGTGGCCTATGGGTACTTAAGTCCACTAAAATGAAACCAAGACCAGCTCCCCTATGAAACAGGTTGCCTCAGGAATTGCTAATTTAAATAGGATTAATGAAACATAACCTATGCCATACTGTATACATCTATCAAAGACTGTGGTCAAATGACCAACTTCAAAAAAAATTTCGTAGTTCAAATTTGATTTTAAAAAATTGAATTTTAAGTTTAGCAACTTAGCAGTTTTAGATTGTTTCATTTTACTAAAGTCTGGGTTGGGATCTGCTAAAAGGCAGACTTGAAAACATTTTAGTGCTGGACAATAGCACTGGAGGAGGGCTGTTTTTGGGTACACCTGTATGGTAGCCTGTGGGCTGAGCTGACCTTTACAAGGTAAGACAACTTCATTTTATCTTTCACTTTGACCTACATGACTTGTGTCTAGCACCTATTTGGATGTATACAGCATAGTCCAGAGAAAGTAAAGGTCTAGGCCCAAACCTAAAAGGCATTTATTTTAGTTTGTAAAACTGTATCTACCCAGAAATTACCTCAAACCCAAACTATACTCAAAAGGTTTCAGCTTCCAAAAACCAATTTTTTAAAAAGGATAAATTGGCAAAACCAGAATGGTAAATTCTTCACACTCAAACATGCCTTTATACTAGAACTTCCAGAGGATGGGCACTGGTGGCTCATGCCTGTAATCTTACTCAGAATCCCTGTTCAAACACAGCCTGGACAAATAGTTGGTGAGATCCTATCTCAAAAATATCCAACACAAAAAAGGGATGCTGGAGTGGCTCAAGCGGCAGAGTGCCTGCCTAGCAAGCAGAGGGCCAGTACTACCCTACCTCACACCAAAAGACCCTTTAGAAATTGTTTACAAAATTTAAAGCACCCAACACCTGTAAGCTAGAATTTATAACACCCTGAACACTGTCTCATTCAGAAAATTCCAATACATAATCACAGTAATGAAGTGCCACATGATAAAACTGCACACACTCAATGTGGTTTTTTGCACTAGTTCACTAAACTCAGCCCTCAGATGATTATTGAAGACAAGAGTTTAATCTAGGAAATATCTGATTTTGACTTCATTTGAAAAATGAAATAAATTTATAGCACACCTCTATTCCTACTTCTAAAATTTGTTGGTAGTCTAAAATAAAAGTCAGCGAAAGTTAACAATTACAAGTCAGTTTATTAAACTTATTAAAATAGTTGACTTAGGCATCTGCAATGGTGACTTCGACCTCCACTCCTGGCTCAATACTGATGGAAGTAATCTGTTTAACAATTTCAGAAGGGCTGTGCAAGTCAATGAGTCGCTTGTGGATTCTCATCTGGAACCGGTCCCACGTCTTAGACCCTTCACCACAAGGTGTCTTTCTTGTAGTAATTCTCAAAGTCTGCAGCAAAAAGACAAAGATGGAGTGTTAGGACATTGGAAAAGCACTTCCTTGGAGGACAAAAAGCCACCTCCAAATACGAGGTACTTCGTGCGAGCCAGAAGAATTTGGTTTTCTGGGATGTACTTCTACCAGCCCAGCCCCCACGCCGAGATCACCCGCTCCTGCGGCCATCGGAAGTGTCCTCACCCCGGCCCGGGGCCTCACCTTGGTCGGCATGCGGACCGGTCCTTTCACTTTGAGGTTCTTTTCCTTGGCGCCTCTGATCAAGTCAGCACACACTGCAGGGAAGGAAAAGCACCTCCATTTACCCAAAACCACTGCAAGCGGCGTTAAGAATAAAAGCTGGCACTGCCGCCGGCTCAGAATAGCGTATAGGGCTATCACCGCAACTCAGCACCGTACGTCTCCTCATCGCCGCCCCGCGCGCCCAAGTCTCCCGCGGGCCCCGTGCTAAGCCCCCTCTGGACAGCCATACTGACCCTTCTCCAAAGACTTCACGTTGCGGCTGGTGAGGGTGATTCGGATTCGGTGAATCGCCACCTCCGGCTCCACGGGGGTTTTCCCAGTATCTTTAAAAGCCTGTCGTTACACAGGCCAAAGAGAAACCGGCAAGCCATCAGCCGTCTGAACCTTCCCGGTCCCCTCCACCACTGCGCGAGCCCCGCGCTGCCTGAGCCCGCGTGCTCTCACCACTTCCCCGACCCCGGCATCCGCCCCGGCAGCTCACGCGTCCCGATGGCACCCCGACTCACGCGGCGCCGTCCCCCGCCTCACCATGGCTAAGGTGCGGCTTCCTGACCGACTTGTTCCTCGACGAGAGCGAACAGCGGTGAGTCAGGAGGAGAGGCGAACGGAACACACCTCCCCTGCACCCGCAACCGCGTCTCCCTCAAAAAGAAAGGCGTAAGGCCCGAGTTCCGCTTATATAGCATGCTTGCATCCGGGTCCCTCACGCCCCGGAAGAGGAACTGCCCGGCGCGCCGAAGAGGCAGCCGTACAAAGGCGGGCTGGAGCACTCGCGTAGTTGGCGGGAAAGGACCAGGTGCGCGCGCCCCCTGTCGGCTCGACGGAGTTACATCCCTGCCGGGTGGGGTTCCTGCGGGCGTGTAGCAACCTCTCTCTGGCCACCTGGCAAAGATGGCAGGCCAGACGGAAATCTGAGACACTCCTCCGTCTGACACACTGCCCTTCTACTCTAGCAAAGTGCAAAAGATCCTGTGGTTTTTTTCAATGCAAATTTTGCAAATAGCAATTTTTCTGAGGTTAACTGACATGGATCTTGGGAAGAATGGAAGAATGGTTCTTACAAGCTAGATGTATTACATTTATTTATTTTATTTATGTCTTTAGGTGCTGGGGACCAAACACAGGGCCTTGCACGTACAAGGTCAAGTGCTCTACCACTGAGCTACACCTCCAGCCCATGAGATATATTACTTTTAAAATTAATAGGCAGCAATGTTTCAGTGCCTGAATTATCCTTTTGTGATAGTTCAGCTTCTGGTTCCTAGACTGGCAGAAGCATTAGATATTTACTCCTGGAAAGGGCCTGAAGTTGGTTTCTTCTTCCTTTGTGAAGGGTGGAGGTGCCAGGCTGTGTACAATGTCCTTGGGTGGGAAGGCACCTAGGATCCAGCTAGCTATTCAATTTCAAAATATTTCCCCTCTGTTCAAATACAGTAATACTGTATTGGATAAGACTTCCAGAATCTCCTTAATACTGTTCATAATCAAATATACAACAAAGTACTGTGGAGACCCAAGAGTGGGCAACTGCCCTATGCAGCAGAAAAAAATGCACATACATGAGGAAGAGGGCGTGCTTAAATAGAATGAAATTGGTGAGACAGGTTTTGATACCAGGTAGGAGGAAGAGGAAATACTTTATACTATTTTACAGGTGACGCTTAGAGCTGAAAGAGTTATTTGCTCTGATGTGCCAAACTGACAAGGGACAGAGCACTGACCTCTCCAGTCAGGGCTTTTTCTCTTTTGATCCTTTACTCCTCAAGGAGAAATTATACTTGAAACTTTCATGAAATAATAGCTTTGACTTACTTGCTTGGTAATAATTGGACCTAACTAATAACTGACATTCTCTCACTTTACAATATATACTAGGTTTTGCTGCCATTGAACAATTAATTTAAATGGTAAACTGTGGAAGTTTTCTCGTTCAGTTATTACTAAATGTAATCCACTGGCAGTAAATATTAGAGTTATCAGCAGAAAATTTGAAAGCCTACCTCTTATTTTAGAGGCCATAACCTAAATGAGACTTCAAAACTCAAAGCTTTAACTTACTGGTTTTGGTTATCTTCAACATAAAAACAAAAAACCAGTAGTCCAGCTCCCTAGGACAGGATCAACCACCACTGTGTTAGCATCAAAGGTAACTGCATCTTCATATAAGTGCACAGCAGCACTCATGTTTCACCAACCCTCCAAGGACACCCAGAAGTTGGATGAACGAGTGCTTGAGTAGTACAATTGCATCTCTCTCTCCCTTTCTCTCCCCCTTAACCCCCCCTCCAGTATTGTTGTTTTAAGACAGGGTCTCACCATGTAGCCAGGCTGGCCTCCTTCTTCAGCCTCTGGAATTGCTGGGATTACAGGCAAACACCACCACTTCTGGCTGTAATTCCTTGTCAACAATAAATCTGGCATATCTATTATTAAGATTGCCTTACTTTTTAAGTACTGGAGAAAATAGTGGTGTTAATTTTTTGGATGATAAGAAAAGAAACTTCAGTATAGAAACTGGCAAAATATGACCCGGAATGTATGGGAAGAAAAATGGCTGATGTAACTGGAACTAAGAAAACAACTGGTAGGATAATATCACATTTTTGTTTTGGAGAACAGTTTGGAGGTTCCATTAAAAATAGGGCTGAGGCACTATTCACAATATCCAAGTTATGGAAACAGCCAAGATGCCCCACTACTGATGAATGGATCAAGAAAATGTGGTATCTATACACAACGGAATTTTATGCAGCCATGAAGAAGAGCAAAATGTTATCATTCGCTTGTAAATGGATGGAATTGGAGAACATCATTCTGAGTGAGGTTAACCTGGCCCAAAAGACCAAAAATTGTATGTTCTCCCTCATATGCAGACATTAGATCAAGGGCAAACACAACAAGGTGACTGAACTTTGATCACAAGATAAAAGCGAGAGCACACAAGGGAGATATGAGGATAGGTAAGACACCTAAAAAATTAGTTAACATTTTTTGCCCTCAATGCAGAGAAACTAAAGCAGATACCTTAAAAGCAACTGAGGCCAATAGGAGAAGGGGACCAGGAACTAGAGAAAAGGTTAGATCAAAAAGAATTAACCTAGAAGGTAACACACATGCACAGGAAATTAATGTGAGTCAACTCCCTGTATAGCTATCCTTATCTCAACTAGCAAAAACCCTTGTTCCTTCCTATTATTGCTTACACTCTCTCTTCAACAAAATCAGAGATAAGGGCAAAATAGTTTCTGCCGGGTATCGAGGGAGTGGGTGGTAAGGGAGGGGGTGGGGCAGGGGGGAGAAATGACCCAAGCATAGTATGCACAGATGAATAATAAAAAAATAATTAAATTAAAAAATAAAATAAAATAGGGCTGAGGGTGTAGCATGATGATAGAGTGCTTCTGTAGCTTGTCCAAGAACCTGGATTCAGTCCCTAGCACTGCATGAATAAATAAATAAATAAATAAGCCCCCCATATGACTTAGAAATCCTACTTCTCTGTGTCTATTGAAATCAGTATCTCCTGAAGAGAGAGATCAAACTCATAGAAGTGGAGCGTAGAGTGGTGGTTACCAGTAGCAGGAAAAGGTGGGGTCAGGGAGTTTGTAGAGATGTCAGGGGACCAATCAGTGTTTTAAAGTTTATTCATTTTATTCTCAAACATTTTGTTGTATTTTTCTCTCGAAAATTAGCTGCTATGGCCCCAAGTTTCTACTTAAAATATAATGTTCTAATATTAGAAGTAAAAGTAGAAATTAACAATGAAGAAAACACATAATTCCATCATTGCAAGATAACCATTGCTTATACCTTCAGGAAGGTATATACCTGTTTTTAAAAATGGGTTCATAGCCTATGTACTAGGCTATTTTATTATAATAACTATTCTTCAGCACCATCTTTTTTAGTGGCTATATAGTCGTGAATCGTGTGCATGATTCTTTCATAATTTGTTAATTCTGTCTTCTGTTTTTTGACATTTAGGCCTGTTTTCCCATTTTTTACTGTTATTAGCAATACCATGAGGTACACAGTTATAGATCATGGATTCTCAATCTCTGTACATTGACATTTGGGGCTGGATGATTCTTTGTTGGGAGTGTGTGGTGGGGACTGTCCAGTGCATTATAGGATGTTTAGTGGCAACTCTTTCCTTTATCCAGTAGTAATTCCTTCTTACTACCCCTGAATTGTGACAACAGAGACTCTTTCCAATGTTTCCTGTGGGGCACAGTCAGCACCCTTTCTCACCATGGTGGAGAACATGGTGATAGATGAGTCTTTTAGCTCATAGTCAATGCCTCATATCAATTACTAGATTGCTAGTAATTGTTGGCTTACTCAAAGAATAATACTTTTAAATAAAAATATTAATAATACTTTTTGATGAAGTTACTCTCTGGGAAGGTTGAACTCAAATGCATAGTTCCTCCAACAGTGTAATGCGAATTTAAATGTGAAAAACTGAATTAAATGTTGGTTTAATTTTTAACTTATAAAACAATCCTAATACCATTACAAAATATTTTTTCTATATCTCTCTATGTAGCCTTTCGTCACTAACTATTTTTTCTTTGAAAATTATCTTGTGAAGTTTTGTGCTATAGGAATTTGTAAGGGTCTGTGGATGGCCACCTACTGGCCTTTAGTTGCAATGACAGTGTCATTCCATTCCTTGTAAAAGGAAATTTGCAACAGTTGAAAACCACTCAGTTAATGTGTATATTTATGAATACAATAATAATTGTAAAATGAGTGTGGGTAAGCCCGTATAGATACTATTTTATCTGCAGTACTTTGGATTGAAATTTTCATGTTAAATTGCTTAAGTGTGAATAAAGAATAAAAGAGAGAGCTTCAAACCTTCTCTTGTGATTCCCATGTTGATACTGGTCAGGAAGAAGAGGCCATTTCTTGTCGCTTCCCAGGACTACATGCGAGGACTTAGAAAATACTCAGCATGTGATCAGACAGCACTACTAGAGCGGTCTGTCTGTACTGACATCAGTTCCTTCGATTCTCATGTGGACTGTAGGAAAGAAGTACTGTTATTCGTGCTCTGCTTATGAAGAAGCCGATGTTAATATCCTGGCATCAAGAAAGCAAGTTGCCATCCTGGACACTGTCCTGTGGAGCAGCCCACATGGTAAGGCAATAAAATGGCCTCTGGCCAACAGGTTCTCATCTCCACACCTAAAAAGAACTGAAGTTCTACCAACAACCATGTGCCTCCTCAGTGAGTCTTCAGGTGGGACCTCAGAGCAGGCTAACACTTTGACAGTGGTCCTAATGAGAGACTGGAGCCAAGCACCCTCCTAAGGCATGCCTGGATTCCTGATCCATAGAAGCTGTGAGGAAATAAACATGTGTTGATTGAAGCTGCTAAATGTATGGTGAGTTTTTACTTAGTGATAAATGATTAATGTTTTTGTGCTGATGAAATAAGATTAGCATTTGTGCTCATCTAGGAGTCTCAAACGGGCAACCTGAGGAAATTTGTGATTAGATAGTTCTTGTCTGTTTTGCTTATGTCGTGAGAAGGCATACACAATTACAGGCTGACTCTTGGAGTTCCTTCTTCTTGCCTTTGGGGAAGGCAGCCTACTTGCCAAGACATGGGGCAGTGCTTCCTTTGGGACATGAGGCTTCTGCTTTCTC